GTGTTGTGTGTCCGCAGCAACTCGTCTGCAACTTTCAACTCGGGAACCACAAAAGCTAGGAAGCTGAAAATTTAGGGGGACATGTGAAAAAAAATCCCCGCTGTTTCTCCATTTTAAGAGTGAAAGTAAACACTGAAATCTATGTTTCGCTATAAAAATAATACACAGAAAGGGGCTATGCAAATTATCGCAATTCACTATCAGTTTTATTCTCATTTTTGCTTCAAATACTGATTAAAAAAAGAACTGGAAATCGTACTTTTTTATTGATTTCTTCGCGTTTCGCTTGCATTGCCGATTGTTTAGTGCAGATCAGATCGACCTGTTTCGAGAAGTCCGCCACTTGCGCTTCCAAACCTCTTTGCTGCTCCTGACATTCCTCCAATTCTCGCGTAAGCTTCTCGTTGTCCGCATCGTATTCAGCCAAGTGCAATTCCAGTTCTAAAAAAAAACAATTTTACTGTTTCATATAAGGCGGATTAAAAAACCAGCTGTGCAAAAAATACTTCGCCCCTTCCCTCCTCCCTTCATCCCCCCGCCCTCCCCGCTCTTCCCGTTGTAACAAGTTAAACGGCCAATTTTCAGATACATAAGTGAATATAACTGTGGTAATGGTAAGAAATGCATACGACTTAATAGACCGAAACTTTTCTTACCTAATTTATTATTTCTATTTATATCTTTCCTTTTTATTCTTTTTGACCTTTTCCAACATCCACTTGTACATTTTCTAATTAAATTTTTACTTAACTTTAAATAGTATGAAAAAGCGACAGTCTCCGCTACCTGGAAGCAAAAAGAGAAAGGTCCCATATAATTCTATTGGCAAAAGAGATCTGTACATCGGCGATTTCAATTTTATGAAATATACCTGACAGACGAGAAATAATTTCGGACAGACGGCGATTAACGGATTCCAATTCTGCCATTTCCGTTTGTAAATGATTGCGTTTCTCGTCTACCGATATATCGTGAATCTTCTGAAACGCAACAACTATATAAGCTTCAGAGTATCTCGAGAAGTATTCCTAGGCAATTGAAAAGCTCAATTTTTTTTTTATTGCAAAAAAATCGGGACAGAACCGTAAGAAAACTTCAGATTCCATAGCCTTCAGCGGCTAGTTGTTTTTCTCGATCTGCTCTCAAATAACTGGAAAAAAAAATAACCTGGGCGCCCCCCCCCCCACCTCCCCCCAAGAAGCACACATACACAGAACCGGCGGTGGGTACTAGCTGGAAGCATGCAATCAGAATCGAAAGGTCTGGCATAGCTGCGCTTGGCGTGTGGGAGCATCCTAGTAACATCACTAACAGGGAATATCTACACTGATGGGCCGAAAAGTCTTAGTATTTTTGGCAATATCGAAAAACCTCCTAGATTAAGAATTAATTAACTACAGATTATGGAATCACACAGGCGATATACTGAACGTGAGAATTCCCAGCAGGTTAACCACCAGGCATGCAGTGTTGATCAAAACAATTATAAAAGTAACTAGCAGAGAAATTCATGGCTAGAAGAAGGAGATGCAGAACACGAATTACCGGCTAATTCAGGCTTTTAAGTATAGATGACATATCTCTAGGCGAATGTAATAGTAGAAATGAGCGAGTTTTGAAAAAGAATACAAAAAAAAAATGCAAAAAAGTGGAAAAAAAGAGAAAAAAGGTAGAAATGAGCGAGTTTTGAGAAAGAATACAAAGAAAAAAAATACAAAAAAAGAAAAAAAATGCAAAAAAAGAAAAAAAATACAAGAGCACACATAAAAAAAACCCCCTTCAGTGGAGGAGAGAAAAAATCGTACTGCTAAAAGGTCCCCCATTCTCTGTTCCCTGTCTTATTTCTTTCATATGATGGCTCGGGGAGGTTGTTTATCTCTTTATTTCTCTTTTTTTTTTTTTTCAAATTTTGCTATTGCCTGGAAAAAAAAAACATTTTATGCGGGACAACCTACCGATTGCAAGTTTTCACGTTTACGATGAAGATTGGTTGTTAGTTGATTTTCCAAACGTAATTTTGTCGATTCCAGCTCCACTCGTGAACGATTTACGGAATCCAATCGCAGCTTTTTTTCTCCAATATTTTCCTGTAAACACACAAAAATTCACAAAAAAACAAAGAAAACTCGAATTGTTTTTACACAATAAAGTGCAAAATCACAGCGTACCTGAAGCTGGTTGAGCATTTGCTTTTCTTCTTCACTCAACTGGGACATCAACGGAGTTCCAAGCTGCTTATTTAAACTTTCTGCCGTTGCTTCCACTTCTCGAATCCGATTTTTCAAATAAACGCATTGCGCAATCTGTGAAAAAAAACAAACAAGCTTTTTCAAATTTCAAGATTTTTTTCGAAATTTCGCAATCAAAATCTGTAATCAAAACTCAATTTCAAATCAAAATTCAAAAAAATTCAGATCAAAAAATTCAAAAAAAAAGTGCAAAAACACAAAATTTAGGGCTACTACACAATTTTTCTCGCTCTAAAACTACAGAAAGTACATGACAGTTTTAGTTTTGCATGTTTTCCTTCTTTCTGTACGTCTCAAATCTGCATTTTAATAGGCTAACTAAAAAAAAATGCAAGGTTATAACCCTCACTAATAAGTAAACGCAAAAATCGGGAGAACCAGACAAGATAGAAAGGCTTTTCCGCTGATTTTCGAATTTAGCATTGCTTTAATAAAATAAATAAAAATAGAGCGAATTTACAAGGCTCTACAACTTAAATAAATAAAAACACTACACGTTAAGAAGTCCAAAATTAAGACCTAACAATGCTTCTATAAGCCAATATCATAAAAATTCAACGTGTCAAAAGAGGGGATCCCGCATAATTTCTTCGTAAAACATTGCACATACTTTTGGCTCCCTGTTTTTCATGCTCTGCTGCAGCTGCTGTGACAGGAAACGTTTCTTTTCGGAAGCAGTTCTGTGTTTATCCCTGGAAATCAGTGAATTTAGCGTCAGCATTCAATCATTGTCAGGTCTTCAACTAATAATACTGGCTCCTAGTAATCAACTAAGTATTGTAGAAATTTTAAAAATGCAAAGAGTGAATATTCTTGGCAAGGAGACTGGAAGAGAACGGGGGCCAGAAATCTTCTATGTGTTAGCATATGCAGTTTGTTTGGCTTTCCTGGCCCATCATGGAGAGGAACACAATCGAATTTTGACAATTAGTGAAAAAATGGGAAGTGGCATTTAGATCGCCCAAATAAGTGAGCCCGTATGTGCAGTGCGCCTGTCTGTGTTTCATCCCTGAGCTGTAAACACAACTTGCAGTTCGCCAATGTCCGTTGTGTTTTCAGAGTTTTTCTGTCAAATTACTCTAGAAACTGAAATTTCGTCGAATTACTCGAAAAATCGTGCAATTCCGAAAGACTTCAGTACATTTCATCTCGTTTCCTTACCAACATACTAATGATTAATCATGATACAAAATTAAAGTTCCAAGGATTTTACTTGTTTCCACTTTCATGCTTTCTTTTTTCACGTTTCTACTAAACAGTAGCTTGTGAGTGCGATCATCCCCTCTCTTTAATCCAGATCTTTACTGATATCTGTTGACTGCTTATCAACAATATCCACTGGTTCATTCCTCTCGATATTTTCACTACCCTGGTTCCAGATTTTGTTACTAGACGATTAATGAAAGCTTGTGCGTGCATTCCACAATCTTACTGCAATCTGGTACTTATGTACTACTGTAGATACCTGGCGGGCAGGAGGCTGTACTGACGATTTCCACTCCTACCCGCATGCATAGTCCGGTCAGTGTTTACAGCTAAGGGATGAAACACTGATGGCTGCATCGTAAAATGTCTTTTTGTACATGACATCTAAGTCGAATCTTTCTACTCTACTATTCGTAGCTCCCGCAAACCGTAGCCGAGTGCATTTCCATCAAAAGCGAGTGCATTCTGTATGGCCCGGACGAACATAAACCAAAAAAGGCACAAGATTTAAATTTTGAGGATTTACTCCCTTACCTAAAGGAGGCTAAAATCTAGGATCAAGTAACGCCATCCTATATATTGATGCTCTGGTTTCTAGTCCAAATCTGTGATAATTTTATAATAACGTGTCGTATAATAGATCAAATAATGTTTAATGGCTTTTGTTAAAAGTAGGTTAAAGAACTGCGTTACTATGACGCAATACCCCTGTCCCTGATTCAAACTTTGGACAGCCTAGCCTCGTTAAACTTTCGCTAGCTTAGTAATCTCTGACCTCTGGAGTATAAAAGCATTTCTCCCCATCGTCGGGAGGACCACAACTCATCACTTCCCAACCTATCTATTTAGCTTCTATTTCTGCTCTGTGGAGCTTCGGCTCTCCAGCATCTCACCACCTTTTTCAGTATTACCTTTTAATATTCTGTGTATTTATAAATATGTATATATGACTAGGCGTTTTACACACCCCCACATACACACTCACACACAGGGCCCCACTTGTCTAAGAATATTAAGGGTCGCGATAAATGGACAAAACTGCGAAATCGAAATTTTGCAAATTGATTCACTGGACCCTTATCCAATCAGATCCTCATCCAGATTTCTTTTAACATCCCATGCTTGTTTGGAAACAATCATTGAATTTGACGATAAAATTAGCGTTGAAATGGAAATTCCGGTATTTTTTGACTATCATGCCACGTAGCAATTACATGGAACAAAAAAATGGTTACGAAAACTGGCAATGGTTGAAAAATACGGGCAACTAACTTCAAAGTGAGGATCTCCCGATCTAAAACATCGCACTCCAGGCGCAGCTTTTCAACATTCGCAGCCTTTTCGTTACTGACGCAACTTGCTTTTTCTACAACTGCCTAGAAAAAAATTATTGACAGTACATTGAAAGGCGAGCATTTTGCCTTGAAATATAATTATGCAAAATATGTAATTCTAATTAATAAAACTATATAATTTCTTCCACTTTCGCCTGCAGTCGCATTTCTGCGTGTTTACAATTTTCGTTCATTTTTGTCGTTCCTTTTTCCTACACCAAAAAAAAACTTTTTCGTTCTTTATCTTTTTCCTTATTATGCGTTTTGTGCTGTGTAACAGCAATACAAAACGCATATTGCCACGGGGTTGTCTGTGTGTGTTTGTGTGTATGTGTGTGTCCATAGCAACTTGTCTGCAACTTTCAACTCGGGAACCACAAAAGCTAGGAAGCTGAAAATTTTGGGGAACGTTCCCCACCCACGTGACGACTCCGCAAATTTAAATTCAGCTTCCCCGTACCCGCGGTCAACAAGTACGGCCCCGTGAAAGTTTTTTTCGGGTAAATTAATATCTCGGGAACCACGGAGTCTAGGAGGCTGAAATTTAAGAGTAATGACCCCCCGCCCACACTCAACCTTGCCTTTTCAAATTCAGCGTTCCCGTGCTCTTGAGTATCACCTGCGGTCTCGTGAAAATTTCGGCGTGTAAACTATTAACTCGGGAATCACGGAAAGATATCCATCCTTCAATGTTTCGAATTCAGCTCTCATACGCAGGCGCATGAAATTTCTAAATATTTTTCAATGTCTCAACTATTTTTGCATAGACGAAAGTACAAAGCAGTGAAAATCATTAACAGGCAATCGTTCGATGGGC